ATAGAAGGCAGCCATCATTGAGCCCTTCCACAAGTCTTTGGGAACATGACTATAATGCCCTTGGTTGAAGGCAATAAAAGATTGACTAGATCGGCTCAAGTAAATGTTACAAGCACAGAGTTGCCTGGTTGATTTTCTACATTGGGTATAGGAGTAATGAGGATGTTGTGTCTTGCTCCAGCTGTTGGTCTATATACCATTTCCTTAGTGCTCCTAGATATCTCATGCTTAGCTTCAGTGATACAGAATAAAGTGATGACTCAGCAACATTACCCATCGTTCATCAACGTCTGTAAAGCATCCTACTTATTTTCCTTGACATTTTATATCCTTGATAAGTTTCTTGGGTTTCAGCTTGGTATTTTATGAATGAAATAAAATGGTCAACAGTTTCATCAAGAATCTTATAACAAGTTCAATATCTACTTAATTAAATAAAATAAAAGTTAACTCATGAGTGAGTTTATGTTTTTCTTCTCCGGGAAAGGTTTTTAGATTGAATAAAAAGAACACATGTCTGACATTGCAGTGGAGTAGAGCCTCTCCACTTACAGCTGAATTGGGTGTGTAGGTTTACAGGTGGAGGGCGAATGGCTGGTGTTTCTTTGATGCCTGTGGTAGAATCACTGGCTATATATATACTCTTACTATAATAAAACATGTACCCCTTTTATACATATCTGTCCTACTGGCAGCGGTCTTAGTTCTCAAATAAATGGAGAAAAAGACACAGTGGTGAAAGCCCCATGATCTCAGAAATTATTTAAAATGTAAAAAAATAAAAAAATAATTATGTCTTTTTGCATCTGATGCATGGTAACTTAAACAAATCTAACAACTATATACTTAGAAAGAAGCAGGTGTGGCCATTAAAAAAGTATCCTGTCATTTTAAGTTGAATATGCAATAGATGTTGGCAATGCTTCAAGAGCAAGTGCTCTGTGGTATAGACTAAAACACTGGTTGGTGTACATCGTAGCTCTGTGGTATAGACTAAAACACTGGTTGGTGTACATCGTAGCACTGTGGTATAGACTAAAACACTGGTTAGTGTACATTGTAGCAATACTACAGTCTTCTGCACTTAACGGTTCATGTGTCAAATAAAAAGGTTCATGAAGTCATTGGTGCTAAAATGATAAAGATTGTATACTTACAGACTAAACTGGGTCATCTCTACTTTGTCTGCATTGAACTTGATAGTTTAACTCATGATCATTCACCCCTGAAGACACAGTTAAATTCTTCCAATTCAAAGGTTGGAATAGTTCATTATGAAACTTCAGGGGTGAATGAGTTAAGTTTGATTGGTTTATTATACATAGTGATTTCTATTGGTCAGTCGGCTTTCCTGGATATTAATTGGTTGGTGTCTGAATGTTTCCTATTGATCAGCAGCAGTCTAGGTTCTAGTAATTTGATTGGCTTAAAATCATGATATGCTTTTTGCTATTTGTCACTTGAGGTTAAAAGGCATTTTGCTTGTTAATGTTTATACTATTCTTTAATCAGAGTGTGGCTGACCCTCCTATCATTGGTGATCTCATTGTTGACAGACCCAGTATCTGAATTTATGGAAAAATGAAACATGACATGTCTGGAGGTCTTTGGACACAATATTAAAAGTTCTACTGATAATGGTCCAAAATTATTTGATTTAGAAAAAGTGTACAAATTGGAAACAGAAAATGATCAATTATCATGAGGTCTGGTGATTGGGTTCACATGTACGATGTGTCATTGTATGTATGTTAGGTTTCTATGTCAATCAAGGATGACATACATGAGAATAAAGTCACTGCTGCCAAAACATTCTAGAGATGGGAAATCCCACTACTAGTGAGGAGACAGCACTTAGTGAAAATGACAGGCTGAGCTGGACTCTATAAACCTACTGTCAGAGGAAGCTGGGTCTGTAGAATCTCGTGGGAACCTTGGTATTGCCATGAGTAGTTACGGTTTTATAGAATTTTAAATGTACATTCCAAATCATCAATTAACCAATTGACAAAATGGTGATCCGAGGCCCTTAGGTTGATGGGTATAATCTCAGGGTCCCATGTGGATTTTTCTTACACAGTGGTTCAATTAAGGCCTCTGCAGAATTGTTGGATAGTCATTTCAGGTCCCTGTGCAGATTATACCTACACAGTGGCCCATAGCGTCTGGGGTATAGTTGGGGAATCATTTCAGGCCCCTGTGCAGATAATCCTTCCACAGTGGCCAAAGGCCTCAGGGGTATTGTTGGACAAGGTTTCAGACTTGGCCCCAGTTTCAGAAAAGCAACGGCTGCTGTACGCCATCATAGCCATTGCAGATCTCCCTTTTTCACGGTGACCACTTCAAATTCGAAATTTTGTCCCAGGCCCTGTTAACATAGATAACCAGTAGGAGTACAGTTTATTTTCATTCACAGTTGGTTTCTGTTGGTTTAACATCTATGTCAGTGTTATCAAGTTTCTCCAACTACAGTTAAACAAACATTCAGGGAATGGCATATCAAATCCCAGTCAATTCCTTTATGTTACCATGGTAACCAGTACATACAGCAAACGTTCATGATCTGTAGTTCTGTAAACATTTCCGTTTTCTTCCAATATCTTGTATCCCTTATTGCCATAGAAATGAAACCCTATATTTAGAATAGAAAATTTTCACCGAGGAATGACCTTCACCCTTTTTAACAGAACTATCAACCTTTCATGATCTTATCTTGTTACTATGGGGACTGCAACTTAATCTTTGATAAATATGACAAGCCACCACTTATTCCACCGACACCTCTGTTTCCAGGTCCTGATTATATACCAATGGTTCGAGGGTAAGGGCAATCTTCAGCCATCAATTTTTATTTTGAGGTCAAATTTTTCATTACTGCAGATAGGAGAAAAAGTGGTTGCCTTTTGCAAGCCCTAAAAGATAAGATGTGTGAGTGTTTTTCTTACAGACAGATGCATACAGTACATACATTGATAAAAAGCTATGCTGAATATGTAAAGGTAATTTATGAGGTTTTATTTTTTTCAATGAAATCTCTGGTTTGTATTACATTCTTGACAACTGTGTGAAAAATGTGACAAGAAAAGAGTTAAATTCCACAGAATAATATAGCATTTATGGCTGAAGTGTCATGGGTGCAGAGTGATGACTATATATATGTGGAAGAAATCTGTTACTAAAACAGTCCTACAAGAACTCATTATAATATTAATTCAAGTAGCCAAACAAACCACACTCGGATAGCCCCAAAACATCACACATCAGGTAGCCAACAAGTATCTTTTAAATAGGTAGCCCTCTATAAGTCACACTTCAGGAAGTCCCACAACTCACTCACACTTCAGGAAGTCCCACAACTCACTCACACTTCAGGAAGTCCCACAACTCACTCACACTTCAGGAAGTCCCACAACTCACTCACACTTCAGGAAGTCCCACAACTCACTCACACTTCAGGAAGTCCCACAACTCACTCACACTTCAGGAAGTCCCACAACTCACTCACACTTCAGGAAGTCCCACAACTCACTCACACTTCAGGAAGTCCCACAACTCACTCACACTTCAGGAAGTCCCACAACTCACTCACACTTCAGGAAGTCCCACAACTCACTCACACTTCAGGAAGTCCCACAACTCACTCACACTTCAGGAAGTCCCACAACTCACTCACACTTCAGGAAGTCCCACAACTCACTCACACTTCAGGAAGTCCCACAACTCACTCACACTTCAGGAAGTCCCACAACTCACTCACACTTCAGGAAGTCCCACAACTCACTCACACTTCAGGAAGTCCCACAACTCACTCACACTTCAGGAAGTCCCACAACTCACTCACACTTCAGGAAGTCCCACAACTCACTCACACTTCAGGAAGTCCCACAACTCACTCACACTTCAGGAAGTCCCACAACTCACTCACACTTCAGGAAGTCCCACAACTCACTCACACTTCAGGAAGTCCCACAACTCACTCACACTTCAGGAAGTCCCACAACTCACTCACACTTCAGGAAGTCCCACAACTCACTCACACTTCAGGAAGTCCCACAACTCACTCACACTTCAGGAAGTCCCACAACTCACTCACACTTCAGGAAGTCCCACAACTCACTCACACTTCAGGAAGTCCCACAACTCACTCACACTTCAGGAAGTCCCACAACTCACTCACACTTCAGGAAGTCCCACAACTCACTCACACTTCAGGAAGTCCCACAACTCACTCACACTTCAGGAAGTCCCACAACTCACTCACACTTCAGGAAGTCACACAACTCACACCTCAGGAAGTCCCACAACTCGCTCACACTTCAGGAAGTCACACAACTCACTCACACTTCAGGAAGTCACACAACTCACTCACACTTCAGGAAGTCCCACAACTCGCTCACACTTCAGGAAGTCCCACAACTCGCTCACACTTCAGGAAGTCCCACAACTCGCTCACACTTCAGGAAGTCCCACAACTCGCTCACACTTCAGGAAGTCCCACAATTCGCTCACACCTCAGGTAGTCCCACAACTCACTCACACTTTAGGAAGTCCCACAACTCGCTCACACTTCAGGAAGTCCCACAACTCACTCACACTTCAGGAAGTCCCACAACTCGCTCACACTTCAGGAAGTCCCCCAACTCGCTCACACTTCAGGAAGTCCCACAACTCAGGTAGTCCCTCCCTCGCCCCCTGCCCTCCCCCTCCCCTAATTCACACTTCAGATAGCCCCACAAATCATACTTTCACACTCCACAGATCACACTTCAGATACTCACTTTTCAGGTGTTATATAACAATACCTGTACTATTTTTCATCCCTACCTTTACATACAAAAAAACAGAGTACATCATTTTCACCTATCAGTAACGACCAAGCTGTCTTGTTGTAGTCTCAATGAAGAGTGTCCGGAAGGTTAAAGGAGTATGATGTTGTTTTCTTTGTTTTTTTATTGAATGATTGTTTGTTGCAACTGAAAAACTTTTTTTGTGTGTTTCAGCAAAATGTTAATGAGCCCCCACCCCGTGAATGTGGCAGTAACTGTAGCTCCAATAATGGCTGTAAATGTATAGGAGAGAAAGGCAATCGGGTAAGTACTATTTCTTAAATTCATTTGCAAGAAAATATGATTGGGCTTCCAAGCTAGTTTAGTTCATGTTGACGCTCTTCTTCAGTGTAATTACACCATGAGATATGTTCTCTACCAATTGAGCTACCTGGTTGCGGACGATCGACCCAGTCTGGTTCCCCTACACTCGTGTGACCATGAATAAAATTTACAATATCGGTTATATGTGATTTAATTCATTGTAACATTACTTTAAAAAATGTGAATATGAATGTGTTTTTTTTATAAAGTGTAACACATCATTACAAATATTCTGAAGTCCATAATGATTTTTGTCGCTTTTTCTTGACAATTATGAGTGATACATGTAGTCAGACCTTCCCTGGCACGGAAGTGTTCTTGTTTTAACAATTTGTCTTGAAATTACACAAAATCAAACAGCATAGGTCTATGTTAAACTTCTCATAAATTTACAGTGGATAGTGTAAAAATATGGTAAACTGAGACAAAGAGGAAATATAAAAATCGGTTCACTGCAATTTTGCACTGTTAAGGTTGTGATGTATAATCTAAGTTGTCAGTGTAGGAAACTTATGGGTCCAAGAAAATGGTTTCTTTGGATAAGAGATCTACTGGGGATGTATAGTAGGGGGTGGTTGGGGGGAGGNATCTGTGGGTTTTGTGGGGCTAGAGAACAGGAAGACACCACAGGAGTAAGACATTAGGTAAAGTATTATGGATTCAGCGGGTTTAGGCAAGCATGTCCTTCCCATAAATAATGGCCACATGTTTGATAGATTTAGTTTTTAGTTGGAGGTTAGTCACCTCCCAGTAAAGTCTTACTACAACACAATGACTTAATAATGCAAAAACCAGCTAAGTATTTGGATGTCTTTATTTGCAGAAAAACACTTTCATATTTCAGTCATTTGTTCTATAACATTTACGTAATGTATTTCACTGATAAAAAGTTTGGGTTAGAGAAAAGTGGTAATTTTTCATAAAAATGGAATTATTGAATGGCTGGTCCTTATCTAGTGGCTGGAGTGCTACATTTATCTAGGTCAGTAGAACGAATCAAGCTGTTCCAGTACTCTAAGGTCATTCGGTGCATTTATTTAACTCATTATTCACCCCTATATAATTAAACTGGACTTGCCCATTCCATGATTTGGTAAGGTTCAAGTGTGACTTTAGGAGTGAATGGGTAAAAGAAACTTTATTTGAAAATTGTCTAATTTTGTAACCAGATTTGTTCATTAATATGAGTCTTGCATGAGCTTAACGATTTTTCAAAATAATACAAGCGAGTGATCTATCAAGAAACTAAATAGTCATAAAATGATTGATAGACTTAAACTATCAGTTATCAGTGTACTTGGCTGGTAATAGGTACTAATGCCTTCAGCAGTCATTGACCCTTGCTCTGAGATTCTGGCTAATCTTGTGTAATCAGGTAAGTCTGGATAGCTGTGAGCGTTAAGTAGGGTCTATAACTCTGTTAATTGTTCAGCCACCACCCAAACCATATGTTGAGAATAATCAGACCTGCAAATTAATTCTAATAAATGCACTATGCATTTAATCAAAATCAGGATAGAAATTATAAAGGGAACACATGCTACTAACCAATGAAATAGGGTTAAAAACATCAAAATCAATGAATGAACAGGTAATTAAATACACAGCTTCCAAATAACCAACTGAACGAAATGTGTTTCTGGATAAAGGAATGAAAATAAATCAAATTAAGCCTTTGTATATGACCTACTGTTTAACATGAAATATTCGTTGTGTATAAACATTCGTGGTTTTCTTGGTTGTTATTAAACCACGAAAATAGATACATCAAATTTGAATGATATATATGTCTACTACTTAGTTAGTTGCATGAAAGTTTGTACCACGAAATGATCTGAATAGCTTCAAACCATGGAGGAAAGTATCCACGAACTTATACAGTGTTATACAGTACCTGTGTTGTTGTATAAGTCGTACCTGTATTTTTGTATATGATGTATCTATATTTATTTAAGGTTCTTTTCTATTAATACAGGGTATCCATGGTGATATTGGTCCCCGGGGTCCCCAAGGTAACCAAGGCTATGCTGGTGTAGAAGGACTACCTGGCCCCAAGGGCGATCAAGGTATAACGGGTAGAAGTGGACCTGGTGGACCAAAAGGAAACAGAGTGAGTTACTTCCCTTTGTTTCAGCAACACAATTAGATCTACATTAAGACCATGGTGGCTGGTTTGTCCAATTTCATTATTTCATATTTTCACCCCAAAAACACGAGTTCTATAGTAACTTATAATTCTCGTTGTTTGGTCTTTTTGGGACAAAATGACGAAACAACGAGATTTAAGGTTTGTTGATTCTCGTCGTTTCTTGGCGAAAAGACGAAACAACAAAATAGACTGAGAGTGTTACTTGCCTTGTTTCAGCAACACAAATTAATCAAAAATGAAATACTTAAAGTTATGCTCATTATGTCAGTAGCAATGAGAACTATTTGGCTTTGAATCTAACTCAAAACATACCATATCTAGTTATCTTATAAGGATCATCCCAGTTTTTCTCACATAATAGTTTGCTTGAAAATATAAAAGCAGCTTTTGTATTTTTTAAATAGGTAAGTACTGCACATGAATTGAAAAAGCAACATATCAGAAACCAGTGATTAAGTAGAGTTTTTGCATATTTTATCACATAACTGCTTATTCATTTTTGTTGTTGTTGTTGTTGTTGATAATATCACAATAACATCATGTAAAGTGATATAACAATACTTTGAGATGCCCCAATTGTATTATGCATGGGGTCTTGTGTTAGATTTAATTCTGATCTGAGAATTCATTGAGAATTTATTGGTATAAAGAAAACCTAATACAGGGATTATGGGATAAACAGGATATGTGAGTAGCATGCCAACTATAAATCTCCTCTATTTTCTTTCTTCACAGGGAAAGATGGGAATGCCTGGCTTCCCAGGTATCAATGGAATTCCAGTAAGTATATATGCATATTCTAAAATATGAAAAAAAAAATTGTACTTAAGTTTGAATGAAGCCATTTCTGAACACTTTCTCTCTGCAGAAGGTGAGCTGTGCCCTTTGCATACATTTGATAATAATAATATATCAGACCTGCCTTCATAAACTTACAAGGGGACTTTAAAATCAAATTTCCGTAAAAATGATCAAATAAGTAGCTTCAAACTGACTCTTTAAAAGTTTCTCAGAGTTGATGTACTAAATCCTTTATTGTCTTTCTGCTATACAGGGTATCCCTGGACCAATGGGACCTCGCGGAGCACCCGGTATGGACGGCTGTAATGGAACATCGGTGAGTTAATGTTCATATAGAAAAAAGTGTGTTGGGTTGATGCAATTAACTGACAAATGGAACGGCTTTAATTAGACACTGTCTCCCTCAAAAGCAGGTTGCGTCTGTGAATATCAACTAGTTATGTTCCACAACAACAATGTTTGTGTTTAATACACTCGGATATATTGCCATTTTGATGGCAGAAGTTTTATAATCGGATGAATTTCGGAACAGAAAAATTCCAGAATTTTGAAACAAAATTCAGATTATATTTCTAAAATTCATTGATGGGATAAGGGGCACCCTTATTACATCTAATATGGTATACAATATTGGAAAAAAAACCCAGTAGGGATTAATAAATAATAACAGGCAACCAAGTGTCTATAATTATTAGGAAAAATTTGATGTATAATGTAGTCATGATAGCAGGTTTATTATTTAGTTAATTACGTTATTTATTTATAAAAAAACAACAACTAATTAGCAATTAGTTAAAAGTAAACAATCATGTAGTTGGAATAACTTATTTTTTTAACCCAAATTGCTATATATATGGGACATCAGAAAACTGAAGTTTGTATGCCTGGTATTCTAAATTCGAGCAATGCTATAAGCTACAAAATAGGCCACACTCTTAAAATATCCAACAGGAGTTGGCTAGAGCCCATCTTGACCCCCAGTGAAACCTGTTTAAGATGTTCCTTCAATCATTTGAAGCTACAGCATCCGTTTAATGTAGAAATGTTGACATAGAAGGCAGATGGCATCGACAACTCCCGACAACTCCGTGGAGATTGCTTGTTTTAACTAGTCTGGAAGTATATATACAGATGTACTCTACTGTAAACGACCTAAACCACACACCGCTGATTCAGCACATTCTGTAATTTCCACTGACTCAGGAATAAGGAAGAATCGTTTCTATTGGATTCTGACTCGGGAGGATTAACTATAATGGCTGTATTAACTCATTCACCCCTGAAATTTCATAATGAGCTATTCCAACCATTGAATTGGACGGGTTCAAATGTGTCTTTAGGGGTGAATGAGCTAAATCTCCCCACCAATTTGTTTAAACTCATTCACCCCTGAAATTTCATAATGAACTATACCAACCTTTGAATTGGAAAAGTTCAAATGTGTCTTCAGGGGTGAATGAGTTAATCAAAGATGGATATTATATATATTCTCAGATTTTTGATTTGTCAGAAAATTAAATAAATCAAATTTAAAACTAAAAAAGACAACCTTTTTAATCAATTATATAATCTTAATTCAAAATGAGCATGTTATATATCTTCATTATAAATTTCTGGAATTTAAGTAAAAAAAGTTCAAATTTAACCAATGATAGAGAAACACAAATGCCATTTGTAGCATTCCCTCTGCTAGGTCATACATCAAAGTTGTTCACTATTTTGACATGGGGAAACTACTGATCTGGTCTTGGTACCATCAGCTGATCGTTGGTTAAGTAAATATTCTAGCTCCTATGGGGGGAGATGGTATAGATAAGTAAGTACAACCATGTGTAATGATGAGTCCAAGAGATAAAGCTGTAACTATGCACTCTGGCTCATATGACACCCAGATTACTTAATGCTTCTTAGGGGGCTGGCAAGGGGGAAAAGGCATTCATTTGAAAAGGGGCACATGAAGGGACTTTGCATTATAAAAACTGCATTTAAATATTGCACAACATATTTACTTTGGGGGGGGGGAAAGGGGGTGAGGGGACTGGTAAAAATTGTTATTAATGTGGAGGTATAAATATCTACTACAGTAAACTAGGTATAACATGGATACACACCTAACCACCATTATATGGGAAAACCTTGTTTTCCGCTTCAGGTATATGTAGTTGTCGAGATTAAACTTGCCTCCAATCACAGTTAATGTGTATATGTTGGTTCATAGTGAGAAATGGTGATATACATGTTGTATTGCTAGACACCTTATAAGGTACATGTAAATAAGATTAACCTTTTCATATCAATGTATAATAACCCATCCCAATTCTCCTGAAATATTTCATCACATGTCATCATTATCAACCACCAGTCTGCATTATTCATGAACAATTACCACTACAATATGCACAATAAAGTTTTGAGAACAAAGCTTCTGGGTGATATTTTACTGTTCTACTCTGTGTCTTTTAGAAGCTTAGCCTCAAACACTTCACAGGATTCACACGAATAATCACCATACCTTTTGGACCTTTGGCAAAGTGACAAGTGGATTTTTGAATTGCGCTTGTTGTACTGATGTTTATGTTTGAAAAAGTTATTGAAATGTTTAAATTTGTTAAGTGTTATGGATTGAAAATTTGGTGACATACATTTTGTAAGCAGAAGTCAGTGCGACACAGAATTTTTTGTTAATGTGAGCACTGCTTTATGGTACAGTAATTGTAATTTATCTGATTGCTCAAATACCATGATTTCACCTTCAGCTTTTGTGGTTTGACAGGAAAGCTCGCAAAGTAAACTGAATCAAGGTGGTGGGGAAAAAAATGGCATTTTTTTATGAATGATGACCATATTAGTGTTATCATTGATTAATTGTTCATCATTACTTTAATCCTTTCACCCCTATGTAACTTAAGTAAACTTGACCATGCATTGATCTGGATGAGTCCATTATGGTCTACAGTGGTGAGAGGGTTAATTGTTAACCATTACAGTAATAGGAAGTTACTGTTTAAATGTCTCAACATAAGGACAACTTGATATACTGTACAGATGGGTGGTCGGGTGGCGCAGTGGATAGCGCACTTGCTTTTCACCAAGGTCACTTGGGTTCAATACCCCGATTGGATGTGAAAGGTATGGGGTCACCTGCCCGACCACTTGGGTTTTCTGTGGTTACTCTGGTTTCCTCCTACAATAAGACCCCTGCGCGCTAACATCCAGGCCAACAAGAGTGATTAATATATTAGTTGAAATAACTTATTTCATAATTGTTGTAAAATAAATAAAGTTTATATTATATATACAGATACTGCATAAAATTACTTCATATGATGTCATGAAGAGTTTTGTTCATAAATTAAAGTCTGAAAAATTATTACATCACTTCAAAGGAATTGACTTTGAAAATCATTATTAATACGATTACATACTTATAACTGAATTCAATGCCCTTCAATATTAATTTGAACTTAAATTCTCAAAAAATCTCCGATGTTTTTGTACCTCAAATTTTGTGACCTTGGAAGAAGGAAATCTTCCATGCTCATTTGACCTTTCATACTTAAACATTTAATGTTTCCATGACCTTGAATTCTGTGACCTTGGATTCATAAAAATGTTCATGTTTATTTGACCTTGAATTCTTTGACCTTTAATGTTTTCATGACCTTGAATTCTGTGACCTTGGGATTCAAAAAAATGTTCATGTTTATTTGACCTTTCATTCTGTTGTAATTTGTGGTATTTCTCTACAGGGAGAGGCTGGACTGCCAGGTTTGCCCGGTAGCACAGGTCCAGTAGGACCCCCTGGATTTTCCGGTTTAAAGGGACAGAAGGGAGAAGCCTCAGTTGATGGATTTGGACAGACAGGACAGAAGGTATAAGCAATACACATCTGATCAGATGAAATATGTATATTTTTCAGGATTACTCAGTTCTAATGCTGAGCTAGCTAGCCCAAGGGGAAGTGAGCTTACATCATGGCATATTGTCTATCGTCTGTCCATCTATTACCGAGAGTCAAAAGGGGAAGTGAGCTTACAACATGGCATATTGTCTGTCATCTGTCCATCTATTACCTAGAGTCAAAAGGGGAAGTGAGCTTACAACATGGCATATTGTCTATCGTCTGTCCATCTATTACCGAGAGTCAAAAGGGGAAGTGAGCTTACAACATGGCATATTGTCTGTCGTCTGTCCATCTATTACCTAGAATCGAAAGGGGAAGTGAGCTTACGACATGGCATATTGTCTGTCGTCTGTCCATCTATTCCCGAGAGTCGAAAGGGGAAGTGAGCTTACAACATGGCATATTGTCTGTCATCTGTCCATCTATTACCTAGAGTCAAAAGGGGAAGTGAGCTTACAACATGGCATATTGTCTGTCATCTGTCCATCTATTACCTAGAGTCAAAAGGGGAAGTGAGCTTACGACATGGCATATTGTCTCTCATCTGTCCATCTATTACCTAGAGTCAAAAGGGGAAGTGAGCTTACGACATGGCATATTGTCTGTCATCTGTCCATCTATTACCTAGAGTCAAAAGGGGAAGTGAGCTTACGACATGGCATATTGTCTCTCATCTGTCCATCTATTACCTAGAGTCAAAAGGGGAAGTGAGCTTACAACATGGCATATTGTCTGTCATCTGTCCATCTATTACCTAGAGTCAAAAGGGGAAGTGAGCTTACGACATGGCATATTGTCTGTCATCTGTCCAGCTATTACCTAGAGTCAACATTCACCAAGAGGTCTACGATAATGATATTTGGCAAGAAGCATGGTGGGATAAAGGGCTATCTAACTGGGTTACAAGTGTCAAATGTGTTCAAATATTTAAATGACTTTATAACTTAGAAACCTAGGGTAGTGACATTTGGCCAATAGCATTCTGGGCTATCGTATTTAAGCGAATCAATATGACCTGCTATCAAGGTCACATAAATCAAATGTGTTATAATGACTTTTTCTGAGTATCTAAGAAACCTGCGGTCCTGATTTTAGGCATGAAAGAAAAAGGCTGAAGATCTATTGATTATGTAATCAGTTAAATGACCTAGATCCACTTTCAAAGTTATAGAAGTTAAAAGTGTTGAAACCATTAAACAATTTCTTCTGTATAACAAAGAGACATGGGATCATGATGTTTGGGCAGTTGCATGCTGGAATGAAAAACTATAGGATTTACACTTGGTTCAAATACATGTATGTTGAAACCTTTAAACTTCATTTGTATAACCAAGAAATCCAGTCATGACATTTGGCCAGTAAATAGCATGCTGAGATGAAGGAATTTGAAGTGTGTTCAACCCGCTTTAAAGGTCACAGGGGTCAAATATGTTAAAAACTTTCCTCATTTCTGAAATTTCTTATGTTAATGGAGTAGCTTGACTTTATTTAACATCCAATACTGTATAGAATATCAATGATAGATGTATGTTTAAAAACTGCAAGTTTCTTATAAAGTATGGCCTGGAATGCTGTGTTGGTTTGCCTTCAGCATTGTGTTTCATTGAAGTAGCACTCTAAAGCTGGTGTCTGATCCATGCTATCACAAGGAGGCAACCATACCAACATACTACCTCCAGCACACATACATATATTACACAGACGCACAGCCTTTAGTTAAATGAACTTAGGACGTTAATCCCAATAAGCTTACATCTCTGATACTGATTAATGGTGAATTATTATTGAACAATAATATAATTGAAATATTTTTTGTTTGACAGGGAGAACCAGGACGAGAAGGATTCCCAGGTCCCCAGGTGAGCTCTTTATCTTTGTTTTTGATCGGCATGAAAGACAAAATTATAAGATGGTCCTTTGAGCCTAAATATGATGTATCAGAATTCATAATCTTCTTGTATTTTGATGTGAATTGAACATTTTTCGTAAAAATATTATGAGACTTGAAAATTATTCCAGAAACAATTCCTTTTACATGCTATAACCATGTTAAGTATGTTAATGTGAACTTATTTTTACTGTCGTGATAAATTTGTCCTCAATATGAAGGACGAAAAAGGTGAGAGTTTAAACTGCGACAAAAATGTCCCCGTATACACTACTACTTCATATTGGATATTCATGCTTTACCATTATATTAAACAGGGACCACCTGGAGAGGACGGTACCCCTGGTACGAAAGGAAGTGATGGACGTGATGGTCAACCGGTCAGTACACGTCAGTCACACTGTAGTCAGGAATATTAACTCATTTACCCCTGAAGAAAACATTTGAACTTTTCCATTTCAAAGATTGGAATAGTTCATTATGAAATTTCAGGGATGAATGAGTTAAATACAGAAATTACTCTGGGCCATATAAAGGCAAATGTCATTGTCTAATTCTATCGCATTTAATTTGATTTCCAGTTATATAAGTGATTACCTCGGATCATGTTTTCTTTTTAAGACAATTTGACACAAAGAAACCTTCTAAAGTACGAGCCCATGTTTTATCATTATTAGAAGATAAACTATTGTAAAAACGGAGACAATAATGTGTGTATTAATAATTGTGATTGATAATTTTAAAAAGTAATCCTAACATATCTATCTGGCAATAAGCCCATGCTGAAATTCTGACAAAAACTATCTCATTGTCCTGTATTACACTCACCTCCTACTTTTACTCAGTAAATTTGTGCTCTTGGCTTATAACGTGATATATACAGTATTGACTAAGCGGAGATAAAACGGTCAGATTTATACAAAAATAAACATCTACCTACAACTTACGCCCATTTTTATTTTCTATCCTAGGGTTTATCGGGCTTACCTGGAGCTAAGGGAGAGAAAGGCAACCCAGGTATCGTTTTCAATGGAATTCAGGGAGAAAGAGGTCCAAGAGGAGTGCCAGGACCCCCAGGTATTCCAGGGGACAGCAGGGAACCACTGGAGGGTCCCAAAGGTACCAACATTGGGCCCAAGGGTGAGCCAGGATTGCCTGGACTTGATGTAAGTATAGTAGTTCTGGATTTCTTTGTTGAATCTTGAATTGTTCTTTAACCTGATAAACAGAATAGGAACGTATTAAGAATAGGAAGATATTGATCCTTTTGCAGGAATAAACAAGATTTTATCCTTTTACTTATCAGCTTGGATGTATAGAAGAGTTATAAACTATAAAAGAACTTTTCAATAAATGTTCTAATATTAAGATTTATTTTATAGTTTTAGAGCTACAATTTACCTCAATTTCTAGTTGCTGAAGTTTATTTTATTTTAAACAAAACTTGAAAATGTATTGCTGTTTATCGTCTGTTTAGGGTGAATCAGGAGTGGTTGGACCGAAGGGCTTCAGGGGTGCATCTGGCCGTGATGTGAGTATACAAGCACTTGCAGATATGTTTCATACCTCATTTCAACAAGAATTGGATATGTTTAAGATTGCTAGTCAAGTTGAATCAAGTTTCCTAGTTACATGTCAAATTTTGAAACAAAGTTGTTTGCTGAATTGTGCTGTCTATGTGTTTCTGAGCTGGTTACCTTAAATGCAAACGCTGATTTCGGTTTGAACAAATATGGTTAGTATCACCTATTCCAATTTCAACTTTGTCATCAAATAAAAATCTTGATAGATCTAAGTGTAGTACTTATAGCTTGTCTTCATATGGAAATTGAAAGCTGTAAAATAATATTTATGTTTATATGACATTCATATTAACACTGTTGACTTGTAAACGTGTTTATTATTGTTTATATTTATTCTTTTTGGCACTGTTAATAGGGTATGAAGGGGATGATTGGCATGAAGGGAGAAAAGGGCGTTCCTGGCATTGCAGGACCTAGGGTAGGTATCTCCTAAAATAATCTCCAGAACAATATGTATGTAATGGTGAGGTTCTGTTCTAAAGCTTTACTTTCACTTTCACTTTATATTATTTTGTATTGTGTTTAAGGGTAAACAAGGACTACCGGGTCTACCGGGACTTCCTGGGCTGAAGGGTGACCATGGTATGGATGGTCTGCCTGGTCTGAACGGTCTTAGTGGTGAGAAGGGAGAATCGGGTCTGGATGGTTTAAAGGGAGAGAGCGGTCCAGTCGGACCTCCTGGGCCAGCTGGGGTAAGTAGAATTTGATTGTGACATGTATATTACATGTTCTTGATACCTATATGGCCTCCTCGTTCAGAATAGAATTTGTACATTGAAACAGGATTTCTTGCTTTGAAATGCTCCCCGATTCTATTGATTTATTCAATAAAATATTGTAAATTGAAATTACTCTGACTGCTTGTCTCTGTCAACAGTCTATCTCAATGTCATGTAAAATTTATAAGCCATTTTTAAAATTTAAAAGAGATTTGTTTTTCTGCAGGGAATTGGTGGAGATGGTCCTGAAGGCCCCAAAGGAGACAGAGGCCCACCAGGACCTCGTGGTTTCCGTGGTGATGATGGAAGATCAGGACTTCCTGGTCCGTCTGGACCCATTGGTCCTGCCGGTGGATCTGGTATCCCAGGCCCTCCAGGTCCCCAGGGAGCTGATGGCAGGAAAGGAGAAAGAGGAAGACAGGGAAATGATGGTAGGTGGTATATTGAAAACAATAAACATAAAATTTATACAGGAAAAGGCATACACATAACAAAACAATTTCATTCAAGTAGGCAATTTACAAAGTCGGTATCTATAATTTACATGGCTTGCCTTACCCTGAGAAAGCCCATCAAAGCCATAGAAAGCTTTTTGCATTGGGGTCCCCTATCACTAATACTGGTGTAACAGAAGTCATTAATGTTTTCAATGCCTTCGCTCGGAGTCGAATCGGGGCCCTCTGGTTTACCAGCCTTACACTCTACAGAATAGCTGAAGTATTTTACAAAGTTGACACTGGGGTCTCCTCTTCAGCAAAATCACAACACTCAGCCATATAGGGATCTAAGTTACAGTAGACACAAACTCCTATAGGGATCTAAGTTACAGTAGACACACACTCCTATAGTGATCTAAGTTACAGTAGACACACACTCCTATAGGGATCTGAGTTACAGTAGACACACACTCCTATAGTGATCTAAGTTACAGTAGACATACACTCCTAAAGTGATCTAGGTTACAGTAGACACACACTCCTATAGTGATCTAACTTACAATAGACACACACTCCTATAGTGATCTGAGTTAGAGTAGACATACACTCCTATAGTGATCTAGGTTACAGTAGACACACACTCCTATAGTGATCTAAGTTACAGTAGACACACATTCCTATAATGATCTAAGTCACAGTAGACACACACTCCTATAGTGATCTAGGTTACAGTAGACACACACTCCTATAGTGATCTAACTTACAAGTGACACACACTCTGATAGGGATCTAAGTTACAGTAGACATACACTCCTATAGGGATCTGAGTTACAGTAGACACACACTCCTATAGTGATCTAACTTACAATAGACACACACTCTGATAGTGATCTAAGTTACAGTAGACATACACTCCTATAGTGATCTAAGTTACAGTAGACACACACTCCTATAGTGATCTAAGTTACAATAGACACACACTCCTATAGTGATCTGAGTTAGAGTAGACACACACTCCTATAGTGATCTAAGTTACTGTAGACACACACTCCTATAGTGATCTAAGTTACAATAGACACACACTCCTATAGTGATCTGAGTTAGGGAAGACACACACTCCTATAGTGATCTAAGTTACAGTAGACACACACTCCTATAGTGATCTAACTTACAGTAGACACACACTCCTATAATGATCTAGGTTACAGTAGACACACACTCCTATAGGGATCTGAGTTACAGTAGACACACACTCCTATAGTGATCTAAGTTACAATAGACACACACTCATACAGGGATCTGAGTTACAGTAGACATACTCATACAGGGATCTGAGTTACAGTAGACACACACTCCGATAGGGATCTAACTTACAGTAGACACACACTCCTATAGGGATCTGAGTTACAATAGACACACACTCCGATAGTGATCTGAGTTACAGTAGACACACACTCCTATAGTGATCTAGGTTACAGTAGACACACACTCCTATAGGGATCTGAGTTACAATAGACACACACTCCGATAGTGATCTGAGTTAGAGTAGACACACATTCCTATAGGGATCTAAGTTACAGTAGACACACACTCCTATAGTGATCTGAGTTAGAGTAGACACACATTCCTATAGGGATCTAAGTTACAGTAGACACACACTCCTATAGGGATCTAAGTTACAGTAGACACACACTCATACAGGGATCTGAGTTACAGTAGACACTCATACAGGGATCTGAGTTACAGTAGACACACACTCCTATAGGGATCTGAGTTACAGTAGACATACACTCATACAGGGATCTGAGTTACAGTTTCTGGCTGGGGTAGCCAAGTGGTTAAGGCAGCTGACAATCTGCTACCACTAGCCCTCCACCACTGGGTCAAGGGTTCGAAACCTAGGTGGGGCAGTGACCAGGTATTGGCTGTAGGTTTGTGGTTTTCTCCGGGAACTCCAGCTTTCCTCCACCACTAAAAACTGGCAAGTCCTTAAATGACCATAGCTGATTATAGGACGTAAAACATAAACAACCCAAACCAATCATGCCTCCCTTTTCCACTCAAACATCTATGTATCATGTTGATTTTAAAGTTGTTTTTCTAATAATGCCATGTCACTTAATGTTTAACAGGATTACCTGGTATTGATGGTGTGCCAGGACGACCAGGTGTGCCAGGCGAGACTGGAGAAGTGGGAAGGAAGGGAGAGCCAGGTCAGAGCATCCCAGGTTTGGATGGACCCATGGGACCTTCAGGACGTGATGGTATACCAGGAGCGAAGGGAACCCAGGGCTTCCAGGGACCACCAGGTCTTCCTGGAAACTCAACAATGGGACGTTCTGGATTACCAGGACTAAAGGGAAACACCGGAATGAAGGGTTTTCCAGGTCTTAACGGACGTAACGGTCTGCCAGGTCTACCGGGAATGAAGGGTATGTCTAAACTCATTGCTTATAGTACATAATTCCTAAGCTTGACATGTAAGCATTTCTTTCATCCTCCTTGAGAAAACTTATGCATGTACTGTATATGGTTCTAATTTCTGCAATGTTAAATTATCAGTACAGCCAATCCTCCTTTGGAGCAAGAGGAAATATTCCCTCTAAAAATATTTCATCATTTCTGTTTATCATTCTGGATGGGAAAAATCATATGAGTCACACTTGGAAGATCTCAAATATTAGCCTTGAACAGTGACCTTTGAACTGCACTCTTTACAGGTGACAGGGGTGGGTCGTGTAGTCAGTGCATGCCTGGAATGAAAGGTGACAAGGGATCATCTGGTCTCAATGGACTCCCAGGAACTTCTGGTCGCCGTGGAATCACCGGAGAAACAGGAGAACGGGGCGTCCCTGGTGAGGATGGAGCCCCTGGAATCCCAGGACAATCTGGTGAAATTGTAAGTATCATCAATCCTGAGTATTGATGCTCATCAATTCTCGTTGAAAAAGACCACTAGTCTAGAATGGCTTTACCCTTTCACTCATACGTAACTTTAATAAACTCTACCATGCATTGTTCTGGGTAAGTCCATTGTGTTTTACATGGGTGAACTAGTGAGGNCCCAAAGGGAAATTACAGTAAAAAAAAAAAAAAAATCCATAAAAATGAGCAAAAGGATTTAAACCTAACTTGGTATGAAGCATCCCTAGATTAGGCTGATTTAAATTTATGAGAGTGAGGGATGTGGTCCCTTTAAGAGACATGAGGCACAGAACTCAGTATGGGAAATGGGGAATAATCCTCAATAGATCACTTGTTGTGTATTGTGTGACAGGATTAAATGCAATTTTTGTCAAAAAAAATCAGTATTATGGGACTCCACTCCCTTGAGCAGAAAAGAGGAGTACCATATCAGGAATGAATTAAAAAGACTGCTCCCTAAGTTGGGTGTAGGGATGAGAGTTAAACTTGGTGTGGAGTGTCCCTTAGTATTTGGAATTGACCGGTAATAATGTATAACTCATTCAACCCTAAAATTTCATAATGAACTATTCCAACTTTTGAATTGGAAGGGTTCAAATGAGAAAATCTCCCTAAATGAGTTAAATGAAACATTAAGCCTCTATTGGATGATATATGAAAGTTCACTCATTAGATTATATGATTTTTGTTTTTGTTTTGAATATACATCAAAGGGATTGATGTCTAAATAAAGGATTTTCATTTCTAGGGAAACCGAGGTCTTCCTGGGTTTGGTGGAATGAAAGGAGAGAAGGGAGAGCGACCTGACACTCTTATTAACTGTAAGTCAAGGTTAAAATAATGTCTTAAAAATGAAAGTGAAAGTTAAATTAAAATTTAATTGAGTTGTCGGAATTTATACTTTTCCCTTTTGATGGTGATTTCATGCACAGAACAATTGTTTATAATAACAGAGTTTTATCAAAAAATCATTGAATTTATTATATGGTCACCAAAATTGTGTGAACATCGTCATCTTTGAAATGCACTGTGAAGTGAAACTTTATATCCAATTACTAGAGAAATGTTTGATTTTGTAGAGAAAAAAAAATGAGAAAAAAATTACTAAAATGTCATGCAATAGTAAAACAGTTAATTCTCATATTTCGGTTTGAGAGTATTTAACATGCTCGAAAATGATTAAAGTCTTCTTTAAATTAGCTGACTTTGGTGCACTCCAATGTTAACGCATTATTGCATTTTAACAGATTTAAATGCATTAACGATTTGGCACATCCATTAAAGACTCATTCAGAATTTAGCGTAAAATTTAAAGTGCGAAATGTGCTAAAATGAGACTACCACCTAGATGTGTATGCTTAAAGTATGTACAAAAGGGAAGACTGCCCAGTAGTTGATTATCCCGTGGATTCGTGTTCTTTCAGGTGAGAAAGGAAACCAAGGTCCAAATGGTAGAGATGGAATGAAAGGATTCCCTGGTCTTCCTGGTCCTACTGGCCCTGCTGGAATCTCCGGACTGCCCGGTGTGAAGGGAGACAAGGTATCGTCTTACATCTACTAAAAACATGTATTTAACTTTCGTTTGTCAGCGGTTTTATTGGTAATTTTCTTATTAATTTTAAGCAGAAAAATAATATTTGGTTGAAAATGTATCTGAATTACCTGTACATTGTTAAATTATGCAGCTGCTTGTAAATAGTTTACTTCCCTGTTATGAAGGGGACGCGTTGGCCAAGTGGTTAAAGCATCTGACATTCTGCTGCCACTAGTCCTCCACTGTTGGATCACAGGTTCGAGACCTACGTAGACAGTTGCCGGCTTTCCTCCAGCACCAAAACCTGGCACATCCTTAAATGACCATAGCTGTTGATAGGACTAAAACACAAACAAATAAAACAAACAAATCCCTCTTATGAGAGTTATGCCCCTTTATTGAAGAGCCTTGTTATAGCTTTTCACTCTAAAGGATCCCCATACCACTGCCAAAAATTATAACTATGCATTCGAAACCGATTTTTCTGTTACAATGTTGCTTTGATAAATCAATTCTGAAAATAAAAGTATGCCTTACATGCCTTTTATGAAAAAATATCAGAGACGAAATAAACAAAAAAAGTTCAACACTTGAGGGTAAAAATTCAGTGTGGGACTTGGATTCAAACCCTGGACTTCAAATTGTTTCGCTCTAACTGGCTGAGCTAAATTGGTCAACAGAAGTGTTCTGGACCAACTGCGCTACAGATATAGCCGTAACAAAATTAAGGGGAGGTAACTGTATTAATCCACAGTAACTGATATTTCAATGAAACTTTGTATACATTATGAACCCACTCACCCCTAAAGTCACATTTGAACCTTTCCAAATTAAAGACTGGGCAAGTCCAGTCTAAATATGTAGGGGTGGAACATCTGTATATTTTGAGAGAAGTTCTTCCTTTGCAGTACAATTTATCATAGGTTGAAGCCAGCAGTTGGCAGTTAGTACGCCAATCTAACAGGGGTCAATATTTCTGCGATGCCTACGCCAGGAGTCGAACCCGGACCTCTGGCTTACTAGTCTTACGCTCTACCGAATGAGCTAAAGAGAAAATCTCCCTAGCCAAGTCGGTAGGAAGTGGCTAGTATTTTACCAGGGTGACATTAAGTAAAATATGCATTTAACTCGCTCAGGGTGATAGTGGCTTCCCAGGACAGCCTGGTCAGTCAGGATTATCAGGAATGAAAGGTGAAAGAGGACTCAATGGAGAGTCAGGATTTGGATCAGCTGGACAAAAGGGTGCGCGTGGATTCCCAGGAGATAACGGTCTTCCCGGTCTCCGTGGGTTAGCAGGACAAAAAGGAGTTCCAGGTAGGTTACAGTATATAGATATATATATATATATATGGGTCAAAGAAGTAATATAGACGGTAAAATCCCATATAACACTGGATCCTAATGGAGGTATGTCTGTAGGATACAAATTACTTAAAATAGTATATGGAGCAAAGAAGTAATTCCAACAGTGTGGACAAGTTTAGGTTGTCAAATTTTCGGAGCGGTCGCTCCTTTTTCAAGACACATTGAAACAGAACAGTTTCATGTACATATACATCATATTACAAGAAGATAGAACTGATATACTATAATTGGAAATATTGCTATTATATAAAACCAATAGTCCCCTCATACAATTCATGTACATATGTGATGCCCTACCAGTAATTTGTGTACATGTACATATGTGATGCCCTACCAGTATTTTGTGTACATGTACATATGTGATGCCCTACCAGTTATTTGTGTACATGTACGTATATAATGCCCTAGCAGTCATGCCCTACTAGTTATTTGTGTACATGTACATATGTGATGCCCTACCAGTAATTTGTGTACATGTATACATATGTGATGCCCTACCAGTTATTTGTGTACATGTATGTATATAATGCCCTAGCAGTCATGCCCTACTAGTTATTTGTGTACATGTACATATGTGATGCCCTACCAGTAATTTGTGTACATGTACCTTTGTGACACTCTGCTGGCTTTCTGTTAACAACTTTGATTGACCATTCCAGGTGAATCAATTGCCATTAACCCTGAAAATTTGAAGGGACTTAAGGGAGACCAAGGACTTCCTGGAGTTCCCGGCTACCCTGGACAAGATGGACTTCCTGGAATGAAAGGAGAGAGAGGTATGTATACCACTGGCTATTGTCAGTGCTGCTAAATCTGGCAATAATGATGCAGAATAGAAAAAATAAGTTAAAGTAAAAAGATTTTGGTGGTCAATGGTCAATACCAATATTTGTCCTGCTTTAGGACCTATAAGAGTGTATACCAATATTTGTCCTGCTTTAGGACCTGTAAGATTGTATACCAATATTTGTCCTGCTTTAGGACCTGGTGGACTGCCTGGATTGAACGGTATTCCTGGTATGAAGGGAAGTGCTGGTCTTGACGGACTTCCAGGAGCCAGTGGACCAAGGGGTAAGTAGAGGGCACCAAATTATCCACAAGATATCGGCACTATTACCGCTATCTCCTGTGTATTTTATTCTCCGTAAAACATTTAAAAAAATTGAGAGATACAATTACCCACCTCTGATGTGAGTATTGCTGAATGTCTGTCATAAAATGGTTGTGTACAAGACACCTCTCATGAAACCCTCAACAGATTTAGTTGATATTGACACCATGGTGTGGTAACATCAAACTCTACACCTAATTAGATTGTAGTGGCCAGTGGTCAAGATTAACAGGTCAAAGATCACACTTGACCATTTTGGGATGGGCTTTGGAGGTATAGGTGAGCCCTTGCTCAGTTTGATTTTATAAACCTATAATATGTTATGGGCGTATTTTTATGCCCTCGCCATAAAATGGGGGGGNNGGGAGGAGGGGGGATTTAGTGTTGCCCATGTGTGTCCCATCGGTCCTGTCCTGATTCAATGTACTTAGAACTTCATTCTGTCACAGATTTTCGTCAAATTTTATACAAAGGTCAAGTATGAGTATACATCGGACATCGTTGTGTTTCAGGGTTCCAAGGTCAAGGCCGAGGTCGTCACGGTTATTATATAGGGGGCATTCATGTCTTACAGACATTTTCTATTTCTTCTTTTTTATGTATCAGTACCTTTATAGTTATGTGTGATATTATGAATTCTATTTAATTTGTTCTTTACATTATTTCGTCCCAACACTTTTATTTTCCGCACCATTTTGTCTACAATTTCTTTCCTCTTACACATTAATCCTATACTATTTCCTACCCATGCTTATATTCACACTGTTGTGACATCATACTTATTAAAATGAATTGCTAATTTGTTCAGGACTGCCCGGTGCCCGAGGTGAACCTGGTCCAATAGGTCCATCTGGACTACCTGGATTCGATGGACCAAAAGGAGATTCTGGACTTCCAGGTCTTAATGGAGTAAAGGGTAGGTTTTGTCCAATGTCCATCATAGTAAAAATTGAAGAGTGATTACCTTGAATTTTACCGTGAGTGTAAACTGAGTACATTGTGTATTTAACAATTTTTCATCACTAACATAATTTGTGTTGTATTTGTAACTGAAATGGTCACAAAATCTGCCTTTTCATTCACGTGAATGCAACAGAAATAATACTTTCACTGATATATACTTGACCACTGCAGGTGAACGTGGTCAATCTGGTATCCCTGGCAACGCTTTGGAAGGACGTAAAGGAGAACCTGGACGTAACGGCATTCCTGGGGAGAGAGGTCAGGCAGGAGGCCCTGGAGCACCAGGTAAACATATAGTATTGTTACCTGATGTTTGTTTCTGCTTTTCTGTGATTGGCCAATTAAAACCAAACAAGTAACTTGGACTGAAAATATTAACAAGGGATTTCTGTCATGAATGATATTTTGACCAATCAAAGGAGCAGAAGTCAGGTGAGCATCAGGTAGTAAACAAGGAAAGATAACAACACATGCAGGTAGATGATCCAATTACTGTATACAGGGAATTTTGTGTTGCAGTTTAGTTTTCGCCTTTTCTGCCGTCCCAAATGAGGGCAAATTTATCATGACAATGTTAGTACACAACATACAATATATAGATATTGCATTTCAAGGGCAAAATGTATACAGGACGAAGATGGACTTCATCTGTAAAGGGAGAATATTTGACTGGATTTTCAACTTCATTGTTGGGTAGTGTAGCAGATGATTCCCTTCAAGAGATCTAAAAAGTCAAGATTATAAATGTACTAAAAGCCACTGAACTATAAAAACAACTTTGCCTGTATTATGTTATGTAACAGCTTCTAGGAGTATCAACTTTCTTGCGTCAACAAATACCCATGTTACCCTAAAGAACTACCTTCTTTACCTGAAGTTTCCTCAAAACAACTCGCCATACTCAACAGATTGTCTTGCCCTTTATGAAGGGTTAAAATGTAGTTTTTCGATGGTATTCAACAAAGATCTGTTCAAGTTAGTTCAAAGAGGCATGAAAGCACATCTTTGATATATCAGATTTTCCCCAAAAGACCCCACAAGACCTTCTGTCAGCTTACTATGGTTGGTTACCATGTTCGCCAGGTATTTGTTTACCAGTATAACACACTTGTTGACGTAATGTGAACTTTACCTTGTGTTTTCCAGGTCTGCAGGGACTGGCAGGACTTCCGGGAATGAAGGGCAATTCTGGTTCCCCAGGACTACCTGGTATGGACGGATTTCCTGGACTGAAGGGAGACAGGGGACAAGATGGAATTCCAGGAGAGAGGGGACAGACTGGACCGGAAGGATTACCTGGCCTTCCAGGTCAGTAAGATTTCCCGTAGATAATATAATTGCTAGTGTGTACGTTATACAGGAGTGATTGATAATTAACTCACATGAATTAATGACAGAAGCCTATTATTATATTATATGTTACATAAACTTATGATGCAAACCTATTGTGAAAGGTTGTATATGCTGCATAACATGACACCATGATCCTGTTTTGAAAGTAATGTTCATAAATGTACATTTAGGAACACAAAACCTGGCTGTACCAGAACAATACAAGTCCTGTTTGACAACTAAAACCTGTCATGTGACTACTTAAATCTGTCATGTGACATGTGAATACTAAAACCTGTCATGTGACTACTAAAACCTGTCATGTGACCACTTAAATCTGTCATGTGACTACTTAAATCTGTCATGTGACCACTTTAAAAGTTCTTGTGATGGCTTAGATCTGTCATGTGACTACTTTAATCAGTCATGTGACTACTAAAACCTGTCATGTGACTACTTAAATCTGCCATGTGACTACTTAAATCTGTAATGTTAATGCTAAAATTGGTCATGTGACTACCAAAATTGGTCATGTGATTTTGGTTATGACACAGTACAGTACGGTAGTTTTAGTAGAAATAGATATTATTGCTATTGTGTCATGATGGAACAATCATCTTCTCGCCGAAAAAAAAATCCAAACGAGAGTCAAATGTGACTTTTGTACTGTTTGTTCATATTACTACCCATTTCAGTTCATAATCTTAAAACCCTGAAAAGAAGTTTACTTTGTTCACTGAGTGGTATTGCAGTGCAAATGTATGTCTATTAAAATATGCTGTTAAATGCCTACATATAATGACAATAGCCTGTGTGCCTTATGTATGGTACAGGTGAGCTGGGACTGAAGGGGGCCGCAGGATTGCCAGGTGTCAATGGACTTCCAGGCCAGAAAGGTCAGGCTGGAGTGGATGGTTCACCAGGTCAGGCAGGTCTATCAGGTCTAGATGGTCCTCAGGGACCCCCAGGACAAGCAGGTGGTGACGGACTCCCGGGACTACCAGGTAAGAAGGCTAGCCAGAAGACTTGTTTAGTGGAGTGGTTTGGGGGTTTGTCATCACAATACTTTGTGACGGAGAGACATGGTGACAATGGTTCGGAAGAAAGACATCGGTGATGTAAATGACAGAAATTCCATGAATATCATTGGAGGAATCAGATCTATTGTTACCACTTTAATTGGAAGAGTCCAAATACGTCTCCAGGGGTAAATGAGTTAATATTTCTTATTCAGTTTGTACAATACATCACATCATTCATCTCTTGTGGTCAGACTGTATGATGCATCAGATTGTCTATTTTTCAACTTCATTTGGCTATAGGAATTTAGCAGCTTTCAGTTATGTAAACAGAAAATTATATATTATTTCTAACATGTGTCAGAAGCAGAAATTTGTATACCATTTGCTTTATGCTAATATCACATTTTTTATATACTTAATTTTGAAAATCATTGTAATTCTGCATATTTTTTACTACATTTGATTGTAAGGTAAACAATTAACCTTCTTATTTGTCACTCCTATAAACAGGAGCTAAGGGAGAGATGGGCGTGGTTGGTTTCCCGGGAGAGCCTGGCCGTGACGGCATTAATGGTTTACCGGGAAGCAAGGGAAGCAAAGGATTTGCTGGAGCGGCTGGCGTTCCAGGAGCGGCTGGGGAGCCAGGTCGTCCTGGTAAGTAAAATTGTCAATCAAGTGTGCAAAGGAAGTAGCTTGGCTTAAATTGTCATCACTGGAGATAAGGAGGTGTATGAGTGATGGTTGGTTATCATGTTGGTCTAACTGGAGTTGGTTCAACTGTAAATTGTATAAAGACACAAGGTTTACCGAGTGTCTTTTACAAAATTTGAAAATTGTAGATGTCTTATTTCATTGCTTGAAGTATAGAGGTTCCCTAAAATCATGATGATTGGTTATGAAATTTATAATAACTTAATTAATTTGAAAATAGTATAAAGACACAAAGTTTACCAAATGTCTTTTACAACATTTGAAAATTAACTAAGGACACAAGATGAGATATCTACATTTGATTATCGGCCATAACGTTCAAATATTACATAAGGAAACCATATGTTTCTCTGGGAATACAAAATTCCTGTTTAGGACTGGGGAAACAGTTGCCACGAGCTATGACGTCACAATGGAAGATGGCATTGCAAAGCATAGTTACTTGACGTCACAATTAGAAGATTGACCGATGAAATAACATTCAGGGTGTTGCCCACTAGTTAGTTGACCCAAAATATTGACCAACTCCTAGCAGGTTTAATGAGTGGGGATTGAGGAAACCTACAGTGCTTGTAGGAGAAATAACACTATAACTTGTAGAGTACAGTTAAAGTTACGTTGTTTTGATGGATTAATTATGCTGACTAAGTACATGTAGTTATAATGTTAAAATGTTTCTACATTTGATTAACAGCCGTTTCTTTTTGTAGGATTCAAGGGAGACTCAGGTGTTCCCGGATTTCCTGGTTTGGATGGTGCCCCTGGTGAGGATGGAGCTTCTGGTAGGAAAGGAGACCGAGGACAAGCAGGAGAGTCTGGCCTTGTCGGAGAACCTGGTCGAAATGGTACAGTTACCTGCTCCTATTTCTAAGTACAGGAATAACGGTATCACAAGTGTTACTGATCAATGTCCTAAGCACAGTCCAGCCTCAATGCATAGCATGTCATGAACTGTTTACAGTAAAACACTTGTTATTAGAATGCATTGATCTTAAGCCAACAAGAGAAACTTTTTTATGATAATACATGTATAAACTGTTGGTCTGTTCAAAAAGATACAACCAACCATAACCATTTTTGCTTTTCAAGTTGACATTTTTCCTTTTGTTTGACGTCATTTCCTTATATGTGTTTTATCCCCTTTTTATAGGCCCTAATGACCTATTGTGTGTTGATGGGCCATTAAGATTCCAATAAAAATAATAACAATAATAATAGCTTCTTCTGGGGCTGAAATAAACCACTTAGGTAACAGTTGTAACTATTATGATATCATGCTTTAATATACATCTGGTTCAGCCCCTCTCCAAGAAATCATACAATCCCTAACATTTGTTACAACGCTTCTCTAGGGGGATCTCACAATACTGTAAAAAAATAAGTTTTCACGAGACATTAAATTTCGTATATTTCGTGGATAACAAAAATGCACGAAATTTAATCCGCACGAAAACATGAATTTGGTATTGATATAGATAGGGGGAAATCAGAAATCAGCGAAATATAATGTCCTTGAAACTGGCTAATATATGAAAAGCGCGAAATTTTAACCCAACGAAAATAACTGATTCTACAGTACCTAACATTTGTTCAAACCCTTCTCTAGGAGATCTTACAATACCTAACATTTGTTGTTATCTAGCACAAAGGGATCTTTGAATTGGTAGCATTTGTTCAACTCCTGTTCCAAGGGGTCGTAGAATAGATTTCTGATGTCTGTAATCTTGGACAAGATATGTTAACTTTTCAATGTCCAAAATGCCTTTGAAGAAATTTTTGTACTGGTTCAACTAAATGAAAAATATATTTTTTCCATTGAAGGTTTGAATGGAATTCCTGGGGAGAAGGGAGAAGCTGGATTCCCAGGGGTTGGTTTACCAGGCCAGGATGGACTTCCTGGAGAGGCTGGGCTCCCAGGAGAACCAGGGCGTGAGGGACCTTTTGGCGACAAAGGAGATGAAGGCATGCCAGGTTTCCCAGGAATGAAGGGAGACAAGGTATGGAAACCCAATGATTATAGAATCTCTTTCATTCTCTTGGGTGTGGGAAAGGAAAACTCAACTTGAGTGTTTTCAAATTTAATGGGTAAAACCTAAGGCTTGCCAAGGGTTTTGCCTTAATTTGAAAATCCTGAAAGTGGGATTTCCTTACCCTTCATTCCTGGACATGACAGAATTGGTTTTCTTTTATTCCAATTCTCAGAAGATCAGAAATCATGGAAAACTTGGTTTCTTTCTTGCACTTCACAATTCTATCATACACACACAGGAATGTGAGAAATACTGTAGATTGTTTATTTTTGCAGATCTGCAAATTTATGCTCAATGAATATGTAGTAATTTGAAGAAAATGAAATCATGCTAGCAAAAGTTATATCAGCAAAATTGTTCCTGCCCTATCTAGCTAAAAAAAGCCACTCTAAAGCACTTTACAGTACATAGATATACACTTTATACAATCAATACAATTAGCATATACATTACTCAATACAATTTTGAGGAATTCCCAGGAGCTGCCTTATCAGGTGCTAACTACTAGTCCTATGCCACCTGGCTAATATTTCCCAATGTGTGTATGCCTGCCTGCATGTGTGCTGGAGATGTATTGTGTTTCATACGGTTCATATATTCATATATTCACATATTACAGGGATCTTCGGGATTACCAGGAATTCAGGGAACACCTGGACAGAACGGCCTACCAGGAATGAAAGGTAAAGTGACAGTTAAGCAGAGACTGTTGTCATTATATGGCACATAGTTGTTAGTAATAAGTAGATTATTATTTGTATCAAGTTAATTCTTTTCTCGCACCGCTATGTATGTCAGGTGCACGTGTCCAGTGGGATGAGCGTATATATTTCTCCATTTAAAAAAGTCGACTAAACATTATGTTTTCTAAAACACTTCTATGCTCAATGGTCAACGATCACATTTTCTCGGTCTGTGACAACCATGAACAAGAAGAAGGATAGACTCTGTTAGTCATTATAAAGTATATTATTGTCAATATAAGGTAGATTATTGTAAGTACAATGTATAAAGTAGATCATTATTACCAATGTGAGATATAATATTTTAATGATGAAGTAGATAATTGTCTTTATAAGTACAAAATGGTTATATAATAACTTCATTTCCTTACAGGTGATTCGGGACTGAATGGTTTGTCTGGTCTGCCAGGAAGTAAGGGATCTAAGGGAAATGCTGGCTTTGCTGGTATCCCTGGAGCTGCTGGGCGTACGGGACCACCTGGGCCTGCAGGACCCCCAGGCTTCCCTGGTCTTAAGGGTGAACGAGGTATTGTTGGAGAGCCTGGCCGTGAAGGTTAGTATATCAATTAATTCCTCTAGAATAATTTATTCAGTGCATTACTGAGACTGAACATGGATATTTAACATGAATATACATATTTATTTGTATAACTGTATTTAACATGAATATTCATGTTTATCTGTGTAACTGTATTTAACTTGAATATTCATATTTATCTGTATAACAGTATTTAACATGAATATTCATGTTTATCTGTATAACTGTATTAAACATTATTATTCGTGTTTATCTGTGTAACTGTATTTAACATGAATATTCATGTTTATCTGTATAACTGTATTAAACATTATTATTCGTGTTTATCTGTGTAACTGTATTTAACATGAATATTCATGTTTATCAGTGTAACTGTATTTAACATGAATATTCATGTTTATCTGTATAACAGTATTTAACATGAATATTCATGTTTATCAGTGTAACTGTATTTAACATGAATATTCATGTTTATCAGTGTAACTGTATTTAACATGAATATTCATGTTTATCAGTGTAACTGTATTTAACATGAATATTCATGTTTATCTGTGTAACTGTATTTAACATGATTATTCATGTTTATCTGTGTAACTGTATTTAACATGCATATTCATATTTATCTGTATAACAGTATTTAACATGAATATTCATGTTTATCAGTGTAACTGTATTTAACATGAATATTCATGTTTATCAGTGTAACTGTATTTAACATGAATATTCATGTTTATCAGTGTAACTGTATTTAACATGAATATTCATGTTTATCTTTGTCACTGTATTTAACATGAATATTCATGTTTATCTGTGTAACTGTATTTAACATGATTATTCATGTTTATCTGTGTAACTGTATTTAACATGCATATTCATATTTATCTGTATAACAGTATTTAACATGAATATTCATGTTTATCTGTATAACAGTATTTAACATGAATATTCATGTTTATCTGTGTAACTGTATTTAACATGAATATTCATGTTTATATCAGTGTTTTTTCTGTATAATGTGGATACACATGTCTATCTGTAGAACATGCATACTGTATAAACGGAAATTTTGCTCAATTCAACTTCGCCTTTTTCACACTCCGGGACGTGGGCGAATTTAACATGACTCTGAATATTAGTGCACAGAATAAGCTTTATAGTTTAATATGTGAAGGGTAAAACTAATATAGGGCTAATATGGATTCACGAGTGAAAGGCAAATGTTTGATTGGGTGAAAAAATCCCGGTATTAAGTATATGTTTATTTATGTAACTTTGTTTAACTTGAATATTCATGTTTATCTGTACAACTTAAATCTTCATTTTTATGTTCATGACACGAATACTACTTTTGATATAGAAGAGATGTAATATTGATTGTTTTTATAAGTTACAATTCGACTTTACAGGAAATCCCGGGGTACCTGGACAGAAAGGAAACCCAGGTCTTGCTGGTTTTGACGGACGTCCTGGACAAAAGGGACAGGAGGGTTTGTCTGGAATTCCTGGTGTCAAAGGTAAGATCCTTGTTTCAGAAATAAATCTAGCTTATTAAAGGTGATTTGTAATTGGCATTTCAGCACTGAAACTTGTAACATCGGTTTGTCTGTTGTGAAAGAAAATTATTTCCCGATTCCGTTGTTACAGAGTAGCTATTCTTAAGGTGCTTCCAAATAGCATTTTGTTACTTTAAAGTTTTCGCAGTTTTCAGAAATACATTGTATAATAATCGAGATTAAAAACATGTTTGTTAATTGTCAACCAGTAAATAAGGAATTGAAGGTGATGAGACTGCTGCATTGCTTTATTTACCAGAAGAACAGTATGACCTCCCAGCCCGGAGGTCAACGTAGAAAGGCTGGGTTTATGTTTGAATGACGTAAAAGGAAATGCATGGTCATAGAACACTTTATGATTGATGTTAAAACTTTTATGCATGTAAATGTTTTGTTTTTCAGGAGACAAAGGAGACCGGGGTCTGCAAGGAATCAACGGGCGTCCAGGTCTACCAGGCATCAAGGGAGAAACAGGTAATAATCTTTATAAATCAATGGTTTTAAATAGAAACTGATATGTGGAGTAATAAAACTTTTTTTTTTTACCATATATCTTTTTTTGTATTATTAGGAAAAAAATAATTTTAAGAAATGTATAACTGACATCCTTAAAGACTTTTATAACCCTTTCACCCCTAGGTAACTTGAGTAGACTACCATACATTCATCTGGATAAATCCATTATGGTCTACAGTGGTGAAAGGGTTAAGATGTAAATACAGTTGTTACAAATTCAAGGAATTAATTTCAAAGGAAAGCATAATATATGTTAACACTTATTTCTTGCTAATTTTACCTGACCAGGTGTGAGTGGACGGCCAGGTGTTAAGGGTGAGTCTGGACGCTCGGCCGCAGGTATCAAGGGAGACCAGGGACCAAGAGGACCCTCAGGACTTAATGGCCTGTCTGGAATGAAGGGAGAATCAGGTACTGTGAAAAGTGAAAAGGTCATTTATTGTGCTGGAAACATTGTTTCACATTCGATGAAATTAAAACATTGGAAGGTGTGAGGGGTCTGAAAAATTGAGCATTTGTATCAAAAGACAAAATGGGTTCGAGAAGAAAAACAAGAGAAAGGTTTTGTAATGAAGGGGAATGTGAATTATTTTACACCGAAAATTTCTGCTTTCACAATGAATTGATAACAAAGATAATCATTCGATTCTCTTACATTTATATTGAAATCATATGAATATGTTTTCGTATAAATTTTACCTGAATGGTTTGTCTAAGGAATTGGTGGTCGTGACGGACTACCGGGCATGAAGGGAGATCGTGGAGAGGACGGCATTGGACTTCCTGGAGCTAAGGGAGAGCCAGGATTTCCAGGTGTTCCAGGTAAAAATACAAATCCTTTGACCTTGATCTATTATGTAAACAAAGGTTGACTGTTTAACCTTCCTGCACTAAACTTCAGTTTAAAAGGGAAGTACAATTATTCAAAAATTACCTAGCTATTACATATATTACATTGTATAACTGAACCTGTAGGTCGAGTTTACCTATTGATGAAAAAGTCTACCTGTAGGTTGAGTTTATCTGTTAATGTAAAGTCTACCTGTAATTTGAGTTTACTTGTTAATGAAAAGTCTACCTGTAGATTGAGTTTACCTATTAATGAAAAAGTCTTCCTGTAGTTTGAATTTACCTGTTAATGAAAAGTCTACCTGTAGATTGAGTTTACCTGTTAATGAAAAGTCTACCTGTAGCTAGTTTGAGATAACCTGTTAATAAAAAGTCTACCTGTAGATTGAGTTTACCTGTTAATGAAAAATCTACCTATAGTTTGTGTTTACTTGTTAATGAAAAGTCTACCTGTAGTTTGAGTTTACCTCTTGATGAAACGTCTACCTGTATTTTGAATTTTCTCGTTTATCATCAACAGGACAGCCAGGAACTCGAGGACAACCAGGAGAGGATGGTGCGCCTGGAATTCCTGGTGCCAAGGGTAGTGTTGGTGAACGAGGCTTCCCCGGCCTACCGGGAATGAAAGGAAACATTGGACCAAGTGGTCCACGAGGTAAGAAACAATGAATTGTTTCAGGGCATAATAAGAAATTGTTTGTTGGAAATGTTCAGTGATCTTTGATGCATAATCTGTATTAAAGCAAAGTCCATGAGCACAAATGATCAGCAGAAATAATGCTCCATCAAATTGCTGTAGGATCACTGTGTTATATCTATCGGTGTTCAGATAATTACATTCTTATTTCCGACATTAATTTTTAAAATGCTGACCTTGAACATCAATAAAGGTACAAATTCTTCAATCGTTTTCAAAGCTGTTAAAGCTTAGTACAAACTGAGAACCCTAATCTCAATTTTACAAACAGATTAAAAAATATTACAAATCTGGGCGGTTTTGACTATGAGGTACATATTTTTGCTTTATTTAAAGAGAATATTTCAATAAAATTCTTTTTAGTTCACTCTAGAGGAAAAATTGATGAAAATCGATTACATTTTTTGAGATCGAAATTCTGAAGAAAAATTTGTCTAACAGTTCATTAATCTCTCACAGAAACTAGTATGGTTTTAGTGGACTATATTCGATGGACCTGACTCTCTTTTTTTGTATGTAGGTGAGCCCGGTGTTCCAGGAGCATTTGGACTGAAGGGAAATCCCGGCGAACCAGGACAATCCGGATTCCCCGGAACTCCAGGCTTGAAGGGAGAACAGGGACGCACTGGTTTCCCAGGAGCATCTGGTGAAAGAGGTCAGTACATGTTTTTGAATTTTACAATCTGACTTCACTTCTCAAAGGTTTGCATTGACCTTCATCAAGGTTACGTATGTCTTACTTCAAGGTTAACATACATTTAATTTACTTCAATATCACATATCGTGTTTCAAGGGGACAGAGCAATATCATAGCATCTATAAGTTATTGTCCCTTTATCTGCTTTTAAAAAGTTCTTTGACCAGTAAAAAAACTGTTTGTAGGAATGTTTGGTTTGCGTTTTTTTTTTTGGTTAACATCCTATTAACAGCTCAGGTCATTTAAGGACGTGTGTGTAGGAAGAGTAAACAGATGATCAGATTACATTATAAGAAAGAAATATGAAGAATCTATTTTATTTTTTATCCATCAACATTCTTTGTACTGACTTTTTAATGCTTGTGTGGTTTTGTGAACAGGTCTTCAAGGGTTTAATGGTACCAAGGGAGAACGTGGACCACCGCCAAACATCCCTCCCCGACTGCTGCAGCCAGGTCCCAAGGGAGACAAGGGAAACTCAGGCCAGAATGGACTACCCGGCTCGGACGGTGTTCCTGGAGAGCCAGGATTGATGGGTAGGTGAAATAGATAAAAAAAATGGTACCTACACAGTCCTTTAATACTTTCCATGAAACTAAGCCACAATACAGTGTAAGTACAACAGATTGCAACTTGGAAGATTTGGTCAAGTCCTTAAAAGTTAAAACAGGGGTAAGGTATACAGTAGTATGGTAAATCTCTTTAGGTATTCTAATTTTAGCGACTTTCACACTATGTCTCGTACACTAATTCATGTTCATTGCTTAACTCAGCTCACCATTCTGTAGGCTTTGTTCCCATACCCCCTCCAGTGTACACCTAGTTTATGTGATAGTCTAAGAGGCAAAGTAGTCTAGTGGTAGGACGCCAGGCTCATGACCGAAGGGTTGCAGGTTTGAGTCACAGCACGGCACTGTGTTTTATCTTTGAGCAAGATACTTTACTTCGCTTGTTCCAGTCTACACAGCTGTAAATGAGTACGTTGTTGGGCAGTACTAGAATTGTAGAATGCTAGCTGTGAAGGCCAAAATGGCATCACCCACAGTATGCTCCCCAGGGAGTTGAGAAAGATGCTGGCTGGTTGAAAAGGCCCTATAACCACGGATTATAATTTGTGAACCGCTTTGAGGTGACCTACAAACTAGGTTGTGATAAAGCGGTATACTATTATTGCAGAAAAGGACATTTGTTCCAATTCCTGAATTCCGGTACTGTAATTCAGTTAATTTAAGAGTATACTAATATACATACCCCTTTCGTTGTGCTAAAATATTATATAAGTATGCTTACATTAACCCCCATCATCTACTCCATTTCTGTCTGTTGAATTCTGACCACACTTTTCTAAACTTATCTTTGTCTACAGGATTCAAGGGAGAAAGAGGGCCAAGAGGAGAAGATGGGCTCAATGGCTTCCCAGGCCAGAAGGGTGATGCTGGGTCCCGAGGATTCCCAGGAGCCAGAGGAAATGATGGACTCCCTGGTATGTGTTAAAAGTGTAAATTAACTCATTAACCCCCTGGAGACATATTTGAACCATTCCAATTCAAAGGTTGGAATAGTTCGTTATGCAATTTCAAGGGTGAATGAGTTAAACCTTGGTTGATTTTAACACTGAATAGGTGAATTTAGTAGGAGGTATGTATAAAAGTGGGATTCCTTTGATCAGTGCTTTGTAAAATCTTATAAGGTCATAACTAGACAGTTTTGCTGACATACTGCCAGCTTGGTCACTGATGACATTTGTGCATTGGGAGTTACTTCCCCTTGTTCACCGCAGTGATGATCAAGGTGTTGTAAACCTGGTAAGCCCCCTTGTCTCTGTTTATAACAGGCCCCTGTTTTCAGTCTCTGGATGGCTTCTTTCGTCTTACTCCTTCATTGTTCTCTCTGTCCAAGAGCTTAGCGTGCTCCCAGTCTATCATGCAATTCCATTTCTGATGTTTTCCCTTCTGACCGAATGAAGGTTGATGCTTATTGTCTCTGCTTTCTTCTGTTGTTCTTTCAATTGCATTCTGAACTTGGTTGATTTTGGTAATGATTGTAATTGATTCACAAGAAAAGGTATTTCCATAGGCAGCATAATAAAATAGTGCTGTCTCTCATATATAAAATTTAGTTGTAATACAAATTTCTGGAAACAAAGAAAATATTAAAGAAATCTTTATTTTCTATCAGCGTATGGATATTCATAACATTTCTCACTTAGTCCTAGTTTCAGAAAAAAATGATTATCCTAAGATATTGACACTTATCAAATTATGCAATGAAATTATCTTCTCTACCTTTTTCTCTGAAGATCCAAAAGTAAAAGTTGTAGGTAAGTTTTGGTATTCAGTCTACAATACTATTTTCTCCATATATAGGACCCCGCGGGCCCGAGGGACCTGTCGGAGAGCCCGGTCTGCCTGGTCTGACACCTCCATCAGGCTTTATGATGGTGAGACACAGTCAGACTATTGATACACCCCAGTGTCCCCTAGGTCTGACTCCACTGTGGACAGGCTACAGCTTGTTATACATTGAAGGAAACGAGCGCTCACAACATCAAGATCTCGGTAAGTTTAAAATCAACAATCCTCATATTGTGAAATCTTTTAACTCATTCACCCCTGAAATTTCATAATGAACTATTCCAACCTTTGAATCGAAAGAGTTCAAATGTGTCCTCAGTGGTGAATGAATTAAAGAGTAGCTTTAAGATGCTTCCTTAGTCTCGGACACTAAACCGAATTTTGAAATATTTTGGTTTGCAATCCAAGAACATAATAATAAGTATTATATAATATTATAAAATAGGACTATACAGTTTTATAATGTCCACAAAATATTCATTTAGTCACAAAGATGAGACCTTTGTATCAGTGTAATATTTGCTGTCTTAAGTCTTACAATAACATCACTGGCAATTCACATATTATAAAGGTTTTACTGTAATTTACTAAATTGAAACTTGTTCAAAATATATTGATGTTGTTTTTTGTCTGAATTTAGTAATGTTATATTGGTACCAGAATTAACAGTAATTTTTTGTGTAAACATGACCTTGACCTTACCATAAATGAAATGTCCTTTACATGTTTTATTGCCTTGATTACTAGGTCTGGCTGGATCCTGTATGAGAAGATTCAGTACCATGCCATTCCTCTTCTGTAATACGAACAATGTTTGTAACTACGCCAGCCGTAACGACAAATCCTATTGGCTGGCCACCAACGCTAACCTTCCCATGATGCCAGTGGGTGGGCGGGAACTATCAGAGTACATCAGTAGATGTGTGGTGTGTGATGCTCCGTCCAATATCATCGCCGTCCACAGCCAGACACTCAGCATACCAGACTGCCCCACTGGCTGGAACGGTCTCTGGATTGGATACAGCTTTGCCATGGTAGGTTTCTCACTGCTCACTTCACAGTTTAACACTTAACAATGCATAGACAATTGATTTTCAAAGGAATGATGAGAAGGACTATGTATAAGTACAAAAGTACTTGTTTCCCAATCATCAGAATGAAATGTCTTTGTACTTGCACATGTTAATTGACACAAATAAAATGGTTTAAACTAAAGGAAAGTTATAACACATCTTAAATTTCTTAATTTGTATATAATTTGACCTGTTTGCACTCTTGAGTCTCCTCTCTGATAATTGACCTTGACGTTTTATTTTTGATTTTCTTAAATGATAGCTTACCTTATTTTTTTTGTACCCCATCTCTGTCCTCTGACCTTGACCTTTGAGTACTTTTCACTGACTATTTATGTCCTTGACATTCCACAGCACACTGGAGCTGGCCCGAGTGGTGGTGGACAGTCCCTATCCAGCCCAGGAAGTTGTTTGGAGGACTTCAGAGCCACACCTTTCATTGAGTGTAATGGTGCCCAGGGCACCTGTCACTTCTACGCCAACAAATTCAGCTTCTGGCTTACCACCATAGACAGAAACGAAGAATTTTCAAAACCCCAGCAAATGACACTTAAGGCCGGGTCTCTGAGGACCCGGGTCAGTCGATGCCAAGTCTGTATGAAGTTAGTGTAGGCCTTATTTGAGACTTAAAATTAATGGATGTTAGTAATATTTTTAATCTTTGGAAAAAACTCTTTTAAGCAGCTTACGTTGATCATGATGAAATGTTTACTTGTACAATTATGATTAAATGCTGAATGCGGTTGTGTTCACTACTTCGTGCGTTCGCTGGTAAAACCAAAATGTGCCTTATAACCAGTCATTGGTTTTAATAAGGGGGTGCCTTTACTCTAATATTTTTGTAAACATTGTCGAAGCATAAATTTTAATTGAAATGCAAGTTTATATGAGAATATCATAATTTGTCTGTTTATGTTGTATTTGTGTGTACATGTAGCTGTTTTTGTTGGGGTGGGAGGGAGGGGCTACTTATGTTCGAGGATTTCACTATTACCTTATATGGGGGGAAACTTGCTCATATGGAGGTAGGGAAACATCAATAACTGGAAACCTCAATAAAGTGTACTGCAGAGTGATATGTAAACCAGGTGAGATTTGAGACCTGCCAAAGATTTCACACATGTAGGTCAGCTTACCAAGGTAATTAGTCGCATCTTTTAGACATCTTTATCAAAGATTTTCAACACACTGTTAAATGTCTGCTTGCCCCAATAAACAATGGTATTTACTAGACTGTCTTAACCCTTTCACGGTTTCACCCCTAGGTAACTTAAGTAGAATCTACCATACATTTATCTGGGCGAGTCAATTCTGGTCTACATTGGTGAAAGGGTATCATGGTCTCTGGTCTCTATACAGTGCAATAGTCTTTCTATTGCGGTTTATGTAATCAGTGTAATATTGAAACATCTATGCAGTTTTACATGTTAGGGTGTTTCTACCAACACTCAAGAAATGTTAGTGTTTGAGTGAGCTATCATTATCACATGTCTTAGTGTTTGCAAAGAAATACTCTTGGGAAATCAAAGAAACACGTCACTGAAGATTTTTTTTTTTAAACATATTATATTGAAAGTGTTTAAATTTTAATGCACTCATTTTTACAGGGTGAAAAAAAAAGTTTTTTTTATCATATATGCAAGGAAATATAGTCCATGAGATTCACACAAATTATGATAAAATTTGATATCAGTACTACATATATATGCTTAAGCCTTGACATGTTTTATAAATGAATGCTTTTGTAGTTTATATGTGAAT